ATAAAGGGAGTGTAGGCGTAATTTCAAATAAAGGGAGTGTAGGCGTATGATGCATAGGAATAAATTAATTGTAAATGAATCACTGCAAATCAAGATGTGCACGCTCTTTAGTAGTATTTTTCCAATTACTCCTTTTAAACTTACGCTAGAAACTAGTGCATTGCATTTTTTAAATGTTGATTTCTATGTCTATTGTTTACACAAAAAAAAAGTATAAGTGAGTGTGTGAGGTAAAAGGCCATGGAGTTGCGACACTTTAAAGTCGAGGCTTTCTAAAAATGAATGTTTACGAGTTGTGAATATTAGGTTTATAGCGTTATACAAGATATAATTGATACAGATTGATACCTTTATATGTATAATATATATAAATATATATATATTCTTTGTGCCTTTATATTCTGAAGATAGATTTGATATTCCTTCATCTTGTTTATGCATGCTACTTATACATTCTACATATATACTTTCATAATTCCGGGGTTCTATCGGATTTTTTCTTTAGTAAAACCAAATCTTAAATCTTAATATGAGATGTCTTAGTTCCAAAATTCAGATTTAAAATTAAATTAATTTTAAAGCAAGAAAACTTGCACTTAAATATAAATTTACTCTGATGTATATTCTAATTGATTGAATTGGAGTATCTATAAAATTTGAAAATGCAGGGTCCAAAGCAAAACAAAGTAAAAACGTAAGGGGTCTGTATAGTGTATATATCGACCACGCATTTTATTCCAAAACAATGAACCTTTATAAAGGTTTACTGTTGTATTGTATATTGTGTAAACCGTAGGGATCTATTGTTAAAGGGGGGGGGGATCAAAATGTTTAAAAAATATATTTTTGTCTAAATTAATTCACAAATCCCAGCTTCAATGCAATTTTATACAAAGCAGTAATAAATGCGCATACGCATGAAAAGTCTACTAATAATTTTGTTTCTGATGTGTCCTTTTTAAAACAGGGATCACTCCCTTTATCTGAAATAAATTGAGAAGACAATTTACTAAAGTAAAGTTGACAGTACTAATAAATACTGACCAAGTGACTAGGAGTATTCATATACGAGTGTATACACATAGAGATAATCAAGGTATTATAGTATGCTAGCTGGAGTGTATACACATAGAGATAATCAAGGTATTATATAGTATGCTAGCTGGAGTGCCCGTCGTTGCCCAGGTTTATGTTATTATTCATGGTAATAGTTACGGGGGCGTTGCCCGTGGAATTTTAAAAATTACCGACAAATTTCAGCCTATGTCACCAGTCACCACTCAACACCTTTGGTTTCCTCAATTTTTTTCAAGTTGTTTGGCCAGCTATAGCTAATAAATAAATAAATATATTTCTGTATTAGCAAAGGCTTTATTATATGGAAGATTTAAAAGTGAAAAGTAAAAAAATGGAACAAATCAATTTTTGCTTACTAAAGCTAAGCAATTTGGTGTAAATATATGCAGAAAAACTTGAGTGAAAAAGTATTCAACTAAATGATTAAAAAACTAAAACAATTTATTTTTTAGTTAAGATTTTGATCGTTCTTCGTGATGTCTTGAGGTATAATTTCCTGATCCTCAGGGTTCACAATTCTACAGTTCAAATTTTAGATTACAATTGGAAAATCAAACTAACTGGGACTGAGTGTAATCTAAAGCAAACTAACTGGGAGTGAGTGTAATCTAAAGCAAACTAACTGGGACTGAGTGTAATCTAAAGCAACCCTCCAGTTTTAAAGTTCCTTAAACATGCTATGAAAAAAAAATAATTAAATTTTCGGAAAGTTTTTTTCAATCTCAAATTATTTTTTTTGGTGACACTGAAAAAGATTCATGAAAGTCAACATAAAAGAAAAGTGAAAAAAATGAAAAAATTATCCATTTAAATAGTTCTAAAAATTAAGTATTATTTATGGTATAATTCATTAAATGATCAAATTACGCCGGTAACCCATTTAAGGTGAGTGAACACTGCCCTAAGTTAAAAAATATTGTTGTCTGTTGATTTAGGCCTTTCTCTAATTTTTTAACAGGAAATTTATATTTCTAACCCGGAATTAAAAACCTTAATCTAGATATTAAGGAGCTAGTAGAAAACGTCCCAAAACAAAAAGACGAATCAACAAAACATCATAATATTAATTGAAACTCACAAATTGTAAAACAAAAAACGGCGAAATTGCAAGATACCAAAACTGCGAAATACGAAACTATTTGAAGTTTTGTACTCATGCTCTGATAAACTTATGCAGTTTGGTTTTCAAGCATAACTAAACAATGGGCAATGGCTAGCTTTCGTCAAACTTTTTAAAGCCATCAAAAATAGAAACAACACAAAACTCTAATAAACTTTCCCACTTTAGAACATATATATCACCAAAAATCATTTCTCATTAAACGCTGGAAAATGGGCTCTATAGCGATGGTTCACTGCTTATAAGAATTTTAAGGTCTCACGCTCTCAAGCAAAACGTACTGAAAATTTTGCCATTACTTTTAAAAAACCAAAGCTAACAAAAAGTGTTTTGTACCGATAAAATCTACGTCTAAAGAGCTATAGAAAAGCATTAGTGAGTTAGAACAGTAAAATCTAATCCTAAGGCGTTGCAAGGCGTTAAAGTCGACCCTGTCATAAAATTGATGAGACTGTTTATTGGACAGGGGCACAGTAAATATCTACTTTTAGTAGAATCATACAGTTTTTGTTTAGAAAATCTGTTTAATTTCATTTATGGTACTTCTTCAAAAATGACTTCAGCATTTCTTGCTTCCAAAGCAATAAAGAAACTATCTGAAAAATAAAATATTTTTTATCTCAGTACAAAAACGTTATCTTCTATATTATTGATCAAATTAGGATTTCGAGGGTACCGTTGTAAATTTTACATGCCCGTGTTTAATTGTGGGTCACTTAAAGTTTTAACAAAATTAATATATCTTTAAATGTATGTTTTGATGAGGCCTGATGTAAAGTAGAAAATAAAAAAAAAACATAGAAAGAAATATTTACAAAATTATAAAACCAATCACACGATTCAATTTTAATTTGGTTAAATTAAATTCAGAAGCTGGAGCTAAAGTTTAGGTTTGTATTGAATATTTTTGATTTGTGTAATTTTTAACTAGTTTCTTGAGGCGTGGCTTCCATTCAAATATTAGGCGTGTAAAATCAAAAAATACAATTCATTCTCCATATATGGATATGTATTGCTACAGTTTCTAAAACTTTACGGTTCTTGTTTCCAATTAATTAAACGTGTTTCGTAGAATTGACTCTGAAACATGAAGGTTTGCGAGAAATGTGTGTATTTGATCGATTTGTTCCCTGTTCACTGTTCACTGTTCCCTGTTCCCTTTTCACCGTTGCCTGTTTCCTGTTCCCTGTGCACTGTTCACTGTCCATTGTTCCCTGTTCCCTGTTCCCTTTTCACTGTTCCCTGTTCCCTTTTCCCTGTTCCCTGTTCCCTGTTCCCTGTTCCCTGTTCACTGTTCACTGTTCCCTGTTCCCTGTTCCCTTTTCACTGTTCCCTGTTCCCTGTTTCCTGTTCCCTGTGCACTGTTCCCTGTTCACTGTTCACATGTAATAAGAGCAATCGGTGTTAGGCTAATTCTCATAATGTGTTCCATGGAGATCAAAGGACTTTTTTTTGAAAATTGCAATTTTAAAGCACTAAATTAAAAGACAACAAATTGCCGACGATTAAATGTCGAGTTATGGAAGACCTAATAGTTGTGGCTATGCTATGTGGCATGGAAGGGAAAATATTTGTGGCTCATCCAACTCTAAACCGAAATCTACCCTTCAAATACTGCTCACTAGAACTTCTTGAATATTTTAAACTTAAGATCGAAAAAATATTTCAACAATTATTATTCGAATTAAAGACTTTTAAAAAATATTAAATATGTTGATATGTTTGATTTTACAACAAGAGGTTTGAATCTCTCGCGTCAAATTGAAGAAAAATTTATGAATCCACTCCATTGTGATTTAAAGGTAACAAGCTCTCAAAAAAAAATTGCTGAAAATTTTGCCAATTATACTTGTTAAAAACCAAAGTTAACAACAAATGCTTGATTGTGCTAAAATGTAAAAGTCATGGGCTACAGAAAACATAAGACTCCGACCATTAAAAATCTCCAATAAAGAAATTGAGTTTTTTGTCACAAACTCTGATGTTATAATGATAGATATTTCAAACTGATAGATAAATAATTTAAGTTTGAAATTACAAACGTTTACATCATCTGGTTGTAGTGTAGAGATATAGGTATTAGAAAATCGGGAATTGTGGAAAAGACTCAATTCCTTTATTCATCGCAGTCCTAAAGAAAACAGTATTTTTGTAGTGACTGGCGTGGGATGAAAGATGAGATATTCTTATTTTCCTAAATAAAAATCTATTTATGCCACAGAGAGAACGAAGGAAATCACCAGGATTTAAATATAGAAAAATAGCAAAATCTTCCTTCAAAGGTACCGTTCTGAATTGAACATGCCAATACTGTAAATGGAAGCTTAATTGAATGTATGTCAGCAGTATCTCTAATGGTATTCCAATATATCCCACCTTCTCTTAATATATATTAATCCGATTAAATCTAGGTTCCAACATCATCATTTATAAATTCCATATGCCGGGTTTGATTCGTGACGGATCGGCGCGTTAATATCTCTTTAAACCCTCCGAATATCTTAGTTCAGTTTAGAGAGCACGCGCATTAGCATCTTCAGCGCGCTAGAGACTCAGGAAATTCCAATAAACATAAAACTCAATTTTTTTCTTAAACATTTCCACCAAAAAGTGCTAAATGTGCTATAACTAATAATTCAAATATTATAATTTAGAAAAAATAAGAAACCAAAACAATTTAAAAACACAATGGTTCGCGCGCAAGTTTCTACATTTTACATTTTTATAAATTTAATTATTTTTCGATATTTATCACTTTTATTTATTTATTTTTGTTTTGTTTATTTGTACTCGTTAAATTCAGGAACGCTGGTTTGAGATCTAGAAACTCCAAATTTTAGATCTAGAAACTATTGGTTCGTGATCTAGAAACCCTTGGTTTAAGATCTAGAGACTCCGAGTTTGAGATCTAGAAACTTTAAGTTTGAGATCTAGATTCTAGACACTCTGAGTTTGAGATCTGGACACTCTGTGGTTGAGTCTAGGATATATCTAAATTAGATATATTAAAAGATGACTACGAAACTGTTGGTAAGTATTTCTATTGATTCTAATGTCGTGCAAAAGCTGAATCTGTGTTTACAGTATACTGTACAACAATGATTAAGAATTGCAACCGCGCAGTTTGTAAACATTGCACGGGACAATTTTTTACAGGCTACCTCATTTTAAAATTTTTTTGACTCATAGATTTCAAGGGAATGCCCCCCCCCCCCTCCCCCTCCCGGACTTAAAAGGGTTTATTATATGCATTTAAAAGGGTTTATTTTATTATATTTTTGCAAAGCATACTGCAAGAGAAATGGAAATTAAAATAGTTTTGGCATAATTTGTAAACCAGCACAATGAAAAATAAGAAGCCCCGTTCCGAGCTAGCTGACATGAACGGAATTTTTAATTGACTAGTTTTGTCAAACAAAAATCAATGCTTGAAAGGACTGAAAGCGTATATTTAGGTTACCCTCCGGTTTACAGCAACTTTTAAAGCTTTGACTTATCAAGTATGCATTAGATAATATTGATTTTGTTTATCTGAACTGTTTTTTTTATTTGCAGTTTGTCTGCAAAAGTGACAAAAAACACAATAGAAATTTACAGAAATAAACACTTTTCGAGTCAGAAAAACGACGCTTTCATCCACATTTTTAATCGAATTAGGGTTTCAAGGATGTGGTTGTAAATCGGGCATTGCATACAGTGATAACCAGAAAACTCTGAAATAGGAAGACGACTTTATAGCAATACTTAAGTGTATTTGATGGTGTTACAAAGCAAATAGCCTTACTAGAAACTTATTAAATCCCTAATTAAGTGAAATGGGTTTAAACTGTACAATTGCTGCATACCATACTTATTGGACCACTTAAAGTCATATCTTCAGTCTGAAAGTCGTCTTCATATTTCAGAGTTTTCTAGTTATCACTGTATAATTGCAAAGAGTTGAGGGTCAATTAAAATTACGCATTTAGTCCATTTGATAAGTTCAATTTTAGCTTCTCAGTGTTTTGGATTATTTTAATCAAAAAGGTATAAAACACTTTCCAATTTATTTCTAGGTATCGAAAATACAGGGTTACCCACAAAGAATGAGAGTTAAATGATGACCAAACGTCTATTGATATAATTATCTTAAAGTTGAACGTAGCTCTCATATAGTTTATTCATTGTATATTAAATAGTTCAGCAAAGAAAGAAACAAAGGAGTTGGTTTGACCTGATGTCGCAGACCTTTGATATATTAAACTAAGAATTCCATTCGATTAAATAGTCTAAGTTTAGAATATCAAAGGTTTACACGACCAAGTATGCAAAGATATAAAGATCTTAGAAAACTTGAGTTTGTGGCAAAAACTCAATTTCTTTACTGCTGGAGGGAACCTTAAAATATGATTAAAGAATAATATCCGCACACACGTTTATGAAATCTCATTCTTTGTGGCTTTTTTTAAAGTAGTAATCTTTGTCCGGTAATAATTAAGGAAACCCTTCACCGATTTGTCTTAAATTTGATTAGAAAACTCGGTAGAAACACAGGAATGTTCTTAGATTCATTTAAAAGTGCTTAGTAAATTAGGATGAATTTTATAGGGAGACATTAGTTTACGGGCAAAGCTGGGTTCCCAAGCTTTAGTTTCTTATAAACAACATTATTCAATTTTTAAAAACCTAGAAATAACACTGAGACTAACTAACAAAATGAAACCTTACAGAATGAACCTGAAATAAATTCTAATACGTAGATTCAATACTCATAGGACACCTACAGTTTAATACAAGGCCAAGGTTTAGCTTTAGAGAATTCCAAACATGTATTGAGTGTTTCGAGTTACTTAATTGTTCTCCCGCTCCTCCTCCACAATAATGCACACAAATACGAACTATATTAATCAACCATTTAGACAGAAACAGACTTTGAAATATTGCCAGGGTTTGAAATATTGCCAGGGTTTGAAATATTGCCAGGGTTTGAAATATTGCCAGGGTTTAAAATATTGCCAGGGTTTGAAATATTGCCAGGGTTTGGTCGTTTTTATAAACCTCGGACGAAGCTTAATAAGCTTGTGTCTAACTTTAGTTTTAGTGAATTTGTTCTTAACTTTCATGTATTCCATTTATAATAGGTCCATTTACACATTAGGCAGAACACTAAATATACCCATCCTGTTCTAGTCTTACTTCCGGTCCGCTACTTCCGCTTTAGTTTTTCTACAGATTATTCTTTTTAAAGGGGCTGTAGACGTAATCTTAACTTCACAACGTTGTCCTTCAAACCTCTGTCTGATTAATAACGAGGAAGATATCGTCGTTTTCTATCAATGAAAGTGTTAAAGTCTGCTGATATTCTTCACTGTTTCTGTAAAATAATCAGTTTTCAATTAGAATCAAGGATATCGTATTCATTCTTGATCAGTGAAAGGTTTAAGGGTACCGTTGTGGCTTAAACAATTATATTATAGCAGAATTAAGTTTCCCCCCCCCCTCATATATATACTTATCGATACATATTTTACAATGTTTTTTAAACGATAATTACAAATAACAACATAAAATATTTACGGCACAAGAAATTTAAAACTAGAAAACTCTGGAATAAGAAGACGACTTTATAGACTCAAGTCTTGAAAATTGAAATAGCCCAATAAACATGAGACTTAGTAACTGTGCAGTGTTAACAGTCCCATTTCCAAGAATCAGTGATTTAATAAGTTACTATTATTAAAATCTTTTGCTCTGAAACACCATCGAATCCGCTGAAGTATTGCTTTAATGTTGTCTTTCTATTCCACAATTTTCTGGTTATCACTATTTCCTCTAAACATTTGACAAAACCGTTTTACATTGAGCCAAAAATTACAACAAAACTATAAGAAGTAAAATTTTAGGTGTGAGACATTCTTTATGTGAATAATCTTTAAAATCTTAAATACTTTGAACAAAATTGGCATATGCAGGTTTAAAAAAACACTAAAATATAGGAACTGTGTATTTTGCCACTAACACGAATTTTCTATTGATTATATCTTTGGAATCTGATGGTGTATACTGTGTAACAGAATTCATAGTTTGAAATATCAAAGGTCTACGACATCGGGCTTCTGGTTGCAAGATATAGGAATCGGAGTTTGTGGCAAAAACTTTGGTCTAGTTAATAAGTAGCATAGTAGTACAAACTGTATAATAGAAGAAAATTAACAAACTATTTAAAAATAAATTGATACATAATTATTGACGATTAATTATAGCATTCCTTATTTAGGTTCTGTTCTGTTCAGTTAGCCTTCTTAACACCTGTGCATCTACATTCAATCATATACATCATCTTCTACATGGTAAACATGGAACCCATGTAACACCACCTAGCTATGGATCACATGCAACTCATTGGAATCAGGGAACTCATGGAACCTGGGGAAACTCAATCCATCAAGGGAGTAAATATCCTTCTTATTATCCAAAGCCTACTGGAGTTCACCATGGAACGCAATTCTCTCATGGAACTTATCCATCCCATGGAACATATCCGTCCCATGGAACGCACCCATCCCATGGAACATACCCATCTCATGGATCATATCCTTCCCATGGCACATATCCTTCTCATGGAACAAAACCTTCCCATGGATCATACCCGTCACATGGAACATATCCATCACATTCAGTTTATCCTCCAACCAATGGAGTTTTCTATCCTTCCCACGGTGTAAAACCCTCTCCTGTATCAACCCCCTACCCAGAGCAAGTAAACCAGGTTTATCCTCCAAATCATGGATCAGAATTCTTCATCCAAACAACACATCCTGGATCCTCAACCAGCTTTCAGCATGTTCATATTGAGCACCAGGGAGGTCATGTACCCACTTTAGTACATCCAGTACACCCAGTACTTCCTGTACATCCCGTACATCCGGTACACCCTGTACATCCTACACATCCTGTAGATCCAGTACTTCCTACTCCTACTCCTGCCCCTTATCCTACTCCGGCTCCTGTTCCTTATCCCACTCCTGCTCCTGCTCCTGCCCCTAACCCTACTCCTGATCCTACTCCTGCTCCGACTCCTGCTTCTACTCCTGTTCCTACCACAACTCTTTCTCCTACCACCACTCCTGAACCTACAACTGATCCTACTCCTGATCAAACTCCTGCTCCTACCACTACTCCTGCTCCTACCACTACTCCTGATCCTGCGCCTACTCCTACTACTACTCCTGACCTATTGGTTCCTGATATTGATCTGACCGATAAACCGATCGAAGACATTGATCTTCCTGCTGGTCCCCAGACCATCCTTCGGCCAGATCGGTTAGTCATGTTGACCCCCAGCTACCAGAAATCCAGAATCCAGCCTTCATTTCTTTACAACCAGTTTAAATATATTTAGAAATGTAAAACCGTCCAAAGCAATTTAAGCAGCTGCTTTTTTATGGCGCCTGTCATACGATGCTGTTATAAAATACGACATTTATTTTTAAATAATGTAGTGCTGATTGCAATTAAATTGAACCGAACTGTAAACGTATGTTACCATTTATTGTCTTCCAAAATAAATTTCATTGTTTGGAAATATTGACTTAATAATGATACATTATAACCGGACAAAAAAATATTATAAAGCCAAAGTTTGATCCTTTTCCCAATAACAAATACTTTATATAAGTTTTTCATTTTAAATATTTGTGAAACAGGGTGACCCATAAAGGATGACACTGAAAAGACGACATGAAACATTTAAAATATGACATACCATGGTTGAAATTAGTCAGAGATTCTTAAAATAATAGTCTACCGCTTCTAAAAAATTTGGTACAGTTGCAGAGAATCACAAGTGTACGGAAACAGTCAGTATGAAATTCCCAACATTGTCTTTGTGCTTAACACTTGCCTCTCTATACATTACATATGTAGACTATCTAATATTTATTAGACTAGCAGAGGTCGCAGAGGTGCGCTCTGTGTTGCCCCTGCCTCTGAGTTTTCATGTCCATCATGCATATCAGTGACTGTGGTTGGCCGTGTTCAATTTTTCAGTGAGAGTAGTCACGGCGTTAGTAGTNCACCTCAGTTTTCGGTAGCCCATCCACCTCAGGTTTTGGTAGCCCAAGCACCTCAGTTTTTGGTAGCCCAGGCACCTCAGTTTTTGGAAGCCCATGCAACTCAGTTTTTGGTAACCCAAGCACCTCAGTTTTTAGTAGCCCAAGCACCTCAGTTTTTAGTAACCCAAGCACCTCAGTTTATGATAGCCCAAGCACCTCAGTTTTTAGTAGCCCAAGCACCTCAGTTTTTAGTAGCCCATGCACCTCAGATTTTGGTAGCCCATACCTCAGTTTTCGGTAGCCCAAGCACCTCAGTTTTTAGTAGCCCAAGCACCTCAGTTTTTGGGAGTCCATGCACCTTAGTTTTTGATAGCCCATGCACCTCAGTTTTCGGTAGCCCTTGCACCTCAGTTTTTGGTAGCCCAAGCACCTCAGTTTTTGGTAGCCCAAGCACCTCAGTTTTTGATAGCCCATGCACCTCAGTTTTCGATAGCTCGTGCACCTCAGTTTTTGGTAGCCCATGCACCTCAGTTCTTGATAGCCCAAGCACCTCAGGTTTTTTTGCGGTTGCCCGTGCCCATTAGTCATCAATATGAGCTGTTTTGTGCTGTTTTGTGTGGCCCTGCAGCCTGAATTTTGTCTCATTCAATGTAAGACGACCTCCTATTTTTGATATCTAAGAATTAAATCCATGCATTCTGATTGAAGGATCTGATCATCTGTAAACCTAAAAGCAAGTGATCTTCCATTTATAGATGTCACATCTGATTCACAACGGCACACTTATNTCCTACTGAATACCAGTACAATATACTCTTAAACCTTTGCAGGTGATAAACCTATTTATTGTAGGAGAATATAAACTATTGTAGGATAATATAAACTATTCTACATATGATAATATAAATCTATTTTAGGATAATATAAACCTATTGTAGGATAATATAAACTTCCCCTCCTTGGAAATAAAATGTCAGTAGAAATTACATCAACTCTTCTATTATGATAAAATTTACAAACAAAACTTAATCTTTTGAATTTTATGTTTTGTCCAAAAAATATACATTTAGAGCTAAGCAGAATCCATCCTATATATATATGGAAGAAATATATATTTAAACATCTAAAATGTATATTTAAACTGAAAAAGTTGAAAATACTATATATATATATACATCTGTATATATGTATATATGTACATATATACATAAACATATATGTATTCCAAAAATATTGAAACTAAATGGCTGGTCATGACTTTTTGTAGATATCGTTGATTTAGTTCTTTAAATGATAATTTAAAAAACTCCGTATTTCATTATTAGTTTTTTATATTTGGGATAGTCAAGGCAAAAGCGTATGCGTATTATAGATAGAGAGATGTATAGACAAAATCCTAGGATTCAGTCCGTGCCTAAATTGAGTACCATACCGTCCTGCTTTGGCCTGAATGGCCTGAATAAAAGAAAGCAACTCCTCAGGCCTAAACAGCCTTGAGCTAAACAACCTGAAACCAAGAGAGTACAAAACATGAAACGTTTTCAATGATGCAAGTTGATCAAATATATTTCATAAATCGAAAATCTTATTTTTGTTAAAAATTTAGCTTTACAAACTGCCTTACAATANTAAATTAAAACTATACAACAAAAACATGATTTTTTAGGAACTGTGCTCTGGAAGTTATTGGAAAGATTAAGACCCCGCCCCCCTCCTCTCAAAAACTGCGTATTTTTTTCCACTCTAGTCTAGTAACAGTTGCCGTAGTTAGTGACAGTGCTATAGATAGTACACACCGAGCCCAAGCCTAGTTAAAAAATAATAAAATGATAAGAAAAAGAGGATTTTTAACTGTACTGCAGAGGAATATAGCTCTAAGTACAAGGTAATATATACATACTCTTGTTAAAAAATAAAATAGGCTGGTTGTGAAAGAGATATAGGTTTTCCATAAAATAAGCACATTTAAGCATCTCTTTTCAACTCGCGCCGATTTTAGACATTCTTTATGTAAGATTATATCTTTAACTTGTTCAATCTTTTTAGTCTTTTCTTTGTAAAATCGTCTTTGCTTTCTTAACAGAAAGATTATATATTTTCTGTACATACTAAAACAAATCATAATAATGACTGTAAAACTACAAGCCAGCCCATTTTAATAAATATTTTTTTGTGTACAATTATAATAAGGTTTACATGGAAATTCCAAAATATATTTATTATTCATATACAATGTCTGAATTATGAATTTATTATTAAATATTAAATAATCATTAGATATACTAATAGTTTCAAAATTAAATGAATTGTTCACAACATTTTAAGAGATTTTTAATTCAAAAAGTTTGCTTAATTCACAATCATTTCTAAATCTGAAAACAGTGGCATGAAGATTGGATTGGGAGAATTTTTTTTGTAAGTTGGGGTTTTATGAAAAGTTAAGCCGGTGATGTTGGTTAATCAGTAAACAACATTTTTAATGAAGAAAAATAAAAATATTTTTTTCTTCCCTAGGCTACAGACAACCGTTGGGGCTCAAGAAGTGGAGCCAAGGGATATTCCTTTAAAGCCCTTTGAGGATATACCCTATCCTAAAGGTAAAAAAATTGTACAGGGGAACCAAAAAAATGATTGTTGTCTTCTTTCTTTTTAAAAAGGATGTTTAATAAAGACTTTATCATTCGTAATTATTAAAATGTTATCGCGCATTTTTAGAAATATGTCTTCTACAAAAAAGAAATTGTTTTCTTAATTACATAAGTAACATTAAAGACGAAAACCACTCCACATTTTTATGGTTTGAACTGTAGGAAAATACAATTCTTGAGTAAGATCCTATAAAACTTGTAGAATGATACAGAGGGAATCTAAAGACTGTGGAATACGAATACGACATGTTTGTTATTGCTGTTGTTAAAAAGCAGAAAATACCACTGCTTAAAAATTAACATATTAAGTAAAATGAAAAGTGTAGATTGTAAACTGCACAATTGCTTAGTTACATCTTCATTGGACTGTTAATAATCAAGTTTAAACTCGTCAGCTTATTCTTCATGGGTCCTACTGAATACCAGTACAATATACTCTTAAACCTTTGCAGGTGATAAACCTATTTATTGTAGGAGAATATAAACTATTGTAGGATAATATAAAATATTCTACATGTGATAATATAAATCTATTTTAGGATAATATAAACTTTTATACATATGATGATATAAATCTATTTTAGGATAATATAAACTATTCTCCATATGATGATATAAATGTATTTTTGAAGAATATAAACTATTCTACATATGATAATATAAATCTATTTTAGGATAATATAAACTATTCTACATATGATGATATAAATCTATTTTAGGATAATGTATTTACTATTCTACATATGATGACATAAATGTATTTTAGGATAATATAAATGTATTTTAGGATAATATAAACTTTTGTAGGATAATATAAACTATTCTACATATGATAATATAAATCTATTTTAGGATAATATAAACTATTCTACATATGATGATATAAATGTATTTTAGGATAATATAAATCTATTTTAGGATAATATAAACTATTGTAGGATAATATAAACCTATTGTAGGAAAATATAAACTATTGTAGGAGAATATAAACTATTCTACATATGATAATATAAATCTATTTTAGGATAATATAAACCTATTGTAGGAGAATATAAACTATTGTAGGAGAATATAAACTATTCTACATATGATGATATAAATCTATATTAGGATAATATAAACTATTGTAGGAGAATATAAACTATTCTATATATGATAATATAAATCTATTTTAGGATAATATAAACCTATTGTAGGATAATATAAACTATTCTACATATGATGATAGAAATCTATTTTAGGATTATATAAACTATTGTAGGATAATATAAACTATTCTACATATGATAATATATATCTATTGTAGGAAAATATAAAACTATTAAAGGATAATATAAACTATTCTACATATGATAATATAAATGTATTTTAGGATAATATAAACTATTCTACATATGATAATATAAATGTATTTTAGGGAAATATAAACTATTCTACATATAATGATATAAATGTATTTTAGGATAATATAAACTATTGTTGGAGAATATAAAACTATTGTAGAATAATATAAAACTATTTAAACATAATATAAAACTATTGTAGGATTACCTATCGTGAAAAATATGTTAACATTCATGTTGAATGTTAAAACTGCTCATCATTTCCATACTAAGTTGAGGAAAGAGTTAGGAGATATCTACAGGTTACAATTACATTATAATACACACACACACACAGGGTGTAATGCAAGGAAAGTTAATTGCGGTCGTGTATACTCTGCGTACACATTGAAACCAGTTCTCTTTGGGCGGAATTTGTAAACAAGAATAGATGCATAAGTGTTCGTTTAGTATCCGAGGAGGTTAAAAGCATTAAATTTTGATAATTTTGATAACTCACATAAAAGTTTCCTATGAACAGAATGTTTCATTGATTTTTTAACGTGAAAGATGGATTCAATGTCAGGCTTTGACATCCGTTTTGTGTTTACATTAACCCCCAGAGACAGTACACTGCAGTACAAAAGATGTGTACACTTCTGAAATATTTTTCCTTGCATTACATCCTTGTTGCAAACTACCTTCAACTAATCATACATATAGCTTTTGTAAAAAAGAAGGTTCAAGAAAGACTTTCAGGATAATGACTGAAGCATAATGTCTTTAGATCAATATTTTCATTTATTGATTTTTTTTAGACTTCGATTACCAGGAGGGAATGATTTGGTGTTTATCAGCAACCCTGAGGATAGCAGGTATATGTATATATAAATAAATATGCATCAATGCATAATTATGTACAGTTTTCGAAACGCGATATAAGAAAATCATTGCACAATTTTTGTACGATTTTTGTGCAAAAAACTCGATTGGAAACCCTGCAAGGAAGATAAACTGCCATTTAAATTGGCATACTTATGAGAAATATCTGATATCGGTGGAAATACAATCCTACAATGTTTGACTGAGAATTAATTATTTTATTGTTTGCAGGACGTTGTACAGTAAAGATGGAGAATATCCTTTCCTCCCTGGTTTTGAGGTTTTCGGGAAAATGAGAATGGAAGGTTTACCACACTTGTATCCAGATACACCAGGTACAGAATTCTTCATCAATTAAAGGGACTGTTTACCACACTTGTATCCAGATACACCAGGTACAGGATTCTTCATCAATTAAAGGGACTGTTTACCACACTTGTATCCAGATACACCAGGTACAGTATTCTTCATCAATTAAAGGGACCTTTTACCACACTTGTATCCAGATACACCAGTTACAGTATTCTTCATCAATTAAAGGGACTGTTTACCACACTTGTATCCAGATACACCAGGTACAGTATACTTCATCAATTAATGGGACTGTTTACGTGATTTCAAGTGGCCCATTTTACAGTTTGATCAATACCTTAGTTTTAGCAAAAATTCAAAGATATCGAAATTTTTCTATATGAAAAATTATACAGTTCAACCTTGGTCTCTTTTTTAACCCTATCCCGATTGGGTTATTTTTGTCTAATATAGATGGACCTCCCCCCCAGTCGTGCTAGGGTTAAGGCTTTTTGCTGATTTTTGTTCAGTACGGATAGAAAAATGCCGAATGGGTATGAATAATGATTTGGAAGCAACTTAAAATTCATTGAAAATTGAACAAATTAATCACTTTTCAATATAGAAAAACAACAATTTCTTCCTTCATGTTACTCAGATATGGGTTTAATGTGCACCATTGTGAATTCGGCATTAATTAAATATTAAAATTGGAGGCCACTTAAAATTACGTGGGTAGTCTCTTTAAATACCAAAATTGCGATTATATAGTCTTGGGTTTCTTCCAACATTTATCAACTTTAGTCTGATCTTTTGCACAATTCATTGATAAAGAGACTGTAACAGAATCATGTTTTAGGATTACTAACTCAGGGCGAGCCCTGGAGTAAAGTTCGACGAGCTGTTCAACAAGACATGATGAGACCAAAAAGTGCTCTCTACTATGTTGATGAACTGAACGAAACGGCTCAAGAGCTTTGTGACAAACTTGCAGCTGATCTTGATGATAATCAAGAAACTGTAGAGCTTAACTATACACTACAGAAGTTTGCTGTTGATGCGACGGGACTCATGTTTATTGGATCACACCTTGGAGTGATAAAAGGAAACCCGGACGGAACAAAGTTGATGGCCGCCGTTTCTGGTTTTCTTGCCAGGTTTCAGACGGTTGCTTTTGTACATGAGAGGGTTTTAAAGCTGACTGGAATCTATAAGGAGGTTTGTGATAACATGGAGACTATGTACAATATATGCAATAAGAAGATCAATGAAGCAATTGAGAAACACAAGACTGATGGATCATTGAAAGGTAAAAACCCCTAAAAAGATTTTTAATAGAGTTAAACCATCGGATGTTTCTTTGGTTTCCAATGATAGTGATTAGTAACCCCTGCGAACCTTCCTTGGGTATTGTATTTTATGTCTCAAGTATGATTAAAGAATATTAGGTGTAAAAAATTTGCTTCAGACGGGGAGGACAAATTTTGAAAAGGCTTTAACTGGGTATCTTATGCAACAGTATCATAATGTACAAATATTTAAAATTTTAATGAATGAAAAGGCATGGGCAAAGTGTCAAATTTGCATACTTATATCGAGGAATTTTCTATCAAAACATAAAAAAGCTTTTTAACTTTCTGCTGTCAAAAATTTGAGTATGAATTTTACGGCATGTTTTCAATATTTATTCAAAATCAAACCTAGTACCAATTTTCTATTGCATGGTGGGTAAATGGGCAATAATGCTAAATTAAAACTATACAAAAAAAACATGATTTTTTAGGAACTGTGCTCTGGAAGTTATTGGAAAGATGTGGAGCAGAGTCTCCGATTCCAACTATTATGGCGGTAGACTCCCTCTCTGCTGGTATTGATACTACAGCACACACAGCAACCTTCCTACTCTACCATCTAGCCATCAACCCGGAGAAACAGGAGATCCTCTTCAACGAGATAGACAGGGTAGTCGGCAAGAACGGGAATATGACAGAAGCTAAACTTGAAGAAATGAAATATCTGAAGGTATACGCTTATGGGGATAGATTTGACCATGTTAGTAATTATATTTTACTTTCATGTTATATACGGTATACCAGTCATTTGTGACCTTTAAAATACTTTTTTCCCTTTAAAAAAGCAATTTAAAGGAATGTTATCAAACCTTTTTAGCATCTCAGCTACAGAACAGTTTCACTACGATAAAGACTACTTTCTTTTTAAGTTTTTAATTTTAACAAGATTTTTTTTTATATTACAAGCTTACAAGTAAACACAGAGAAGCTTCAAGTTGACAGCTTCTCTTTGTGTCTATGTTTATGTGCATTCAAACTTGGTAAAAACCATTGTATTGATATATACGATCAATTGAACATCATATACTTGCTCTAAGAACTCTTTTGGAGTAGGACATTGCAATTTACGTTGAATGATTTGTTTATTGCAGGCATGTATGCAGGAATCCCAAAGGATCTGGCCTGTTGCCATTGGAACAGCAAGAAAGACCCAAACAGACATAGTTCTCTCAGGATACCATATTCCAGCAGACACTGTTGTTATACGAAACGGAATACTGTCTTCCAATGATGACAAGTTCTATCCCAACGCTGATCAGTTTCTACCAGAACGATGGATCCGTGGATGTCCACAGCACCAGAAAGTTGATCCCTACGCAAATCTTCCCTTTGGACATGGACCTAGGGCTTGCATTGGCCAAAGGTTTGCCCGGCTTGAGCTTTACATGGTTACTTTTAAGATGATTCAGCAGTATAGGCTAGAGTATCATCATGAACCCATCGATGTAGATTTTACTGGGATAGGACATCCAGACAGAGAAGTAGTTCTTAAGATGATTAAAAGAACTTAATTCTTCATTTATATCTTCTTTTTATTTCTTTTTATTAATATACAGTGATAACCAGAAAACTTGGATTAGGAAGTCGAATTTAGGAAGTTATGATTTTAAATAATCCTATGTGCATGAGAACCGTTAACTCAGTGTAAGCAGACCCATTTCACTTAAAAGTGATTTAAAGCAATATTTTTTATATCCAAATGCCATCAGTATTGCGTTCATACGTATAAAAAAGCTAAAAGGCACCAAAATAGAAAAACAAGTAAAAGGCACAGGTGACTGCACACACTGTAGACTGACGGGCAATGGACAACCGCACAAACTGTAAACTGACGGGCAATGGACAGTGGACAACCGCACAAACTATAGATAGACGAGCAACAGACAACCGCACAAATTGTAGACTGATGGATAACGGGCACCCCACACAAATTGTATACTCACGGACAACGCCAATCGCACAAACTGTAGACAGAAGAGCAACAGACAATCGCACTAACTGTAGACTGATGGACAATCGGCACCCTACACAAACTGTAGACCGACGGACATCGCCAATCGGAAAACCCCAAAAACTGTAGAATGACGAGTAATTAAGGGGTAACCGTACAAACTGCAGACTGACGGGCAACGGACGTTCACAAAAACTATAGAATGACGGACAACAGGCAACCGCACAAACTGTAGACTGACGGAAATCGTACAACCGCACAAACTGTAGACTGACGAACAAGGGGCAACTGCACAAACTGTAGACTGACGGAAATCGTACAACCCCAAAAAATGTAGACTGATGGACAACAGGCAACCACACAAACTGCAGTAGACTGACGGACAACAGACAACCGCACAAACTGTAGACTGACAGAAATCGGACAACCCCAAAAAATGTAGACTGACGAGCAATGGGTAACCGCACAAACTGTAGACTGACGGACAACAGGTAAATACACAAACTGTAAACTGACGGACAACAGGTAATTACACAAACTGTAAACTGACGGACAACAGGTAATTACACAAACTGTAAACTGAAGGAAAACAGGTTATTACATAAACTGTAAACTGACAGAAAACAGGTTATTACACAAACTGTAGACTGACGGTCAACGGGCAACCGGACAAACTGTAAACTGACGGACAACAGGTAATTACACAAACTGTAGACTGACGGGCAAAGGACAACCACAAAAACTGTAGACTGATGGACAACGGGCAACCACACAAACTGTAGACTGACGGACAACGGACAACCGCAAAAACTGTAGACTGACGGAAATCAGACAACCCCAAAAAATCTAGACTGACGAGCAACCTGTTACGGACAACAGGTTATTAAACAAACTGTAAACTGACGGACAACAGGCAACCGCACAAACTGTAGACTGACGAACAACGGGCAACTGCACAAACTGTAGACAGACAGGCAACAGACAACTGCACAAACTGTAGACTGACGGAACTGGCAACTGCACAAACTGTAGACTGACGAACAAAGAGCAACTGCACAAACTGCTGTTGATTGCCGGGCAACAATCTACAAGTTAATCAAGATAAATTCTGCACAAATTCTTCATTGACAGATAGTTTCTGTCTTTTCAAAAATAGTATTAATGTATAATCTAAACTTCTAATTGATTTGTTCATTTTTGTAGAAGATATATCTTCAGGGAAATCTTAAATTATAAAAACTGTTCAGCAATCATTTATTTAATCAATATTAAAAAAATATCTTGTCATATATTTAATTAACCATGTTTATGTTCTGTTTATTATGATTTGATAGATGTCATAAAAAATAATGATCAAAAATAAAATAACGAATATATTTCACGAAACTTTTGTTTTACTTCTTTTATTTTACTCTTGGTAAATTTGCCAGCTTTTCATTTCAAAGTAAATAATTCTTTTAATTAATTAAGACATAATTTTCCAACTTTTCTATACGGAAAATAAAAAGATTAAACCTCTTTTAAGTTTGAAACTTTTGAATTGTTCTAAATGAGTTAAACCTATTTTGTCATTATAAGAATGCCCCTTAGGTTCCCAAGCCTTAAAGTTGAAGAGACACAAACTAGAATAAGGGACGTGAAGCACCCACAATTTCTAGTTGAATAAAAATGTCTCGTGAATTTTTTTATTAAATTTCCTCTGCGGATGAAAGGTAACACCTGAACAGCTTCTTCTTTACTCAACTCCGACACAAAATTCACAAATTATTAAAAAAAATTCTAATAAAAAGTCACAAAATTCACAAATTATTAAAAAAATTCTAAAAAGTCACAAAATTCACAAATTATTAAAAAAATTCTAAAAAGTCACAAAATTCACAAATTATTTAAAAAATTCTAAAAATCACAAAATTCACAAAAATGAATGAAATATTCAATCAATGAAATATTCTGGTCATAGGAAACAATTATATGAATTATCAAAATTTAATGCTTTTATCCTCCTCGGATAATAAACGAACACTGGTAAATATATTCTTGTTTACAAATTCCGCCCAGAGAGAACTGGTTTCAATATGTGCGCAGAGTATACGCAACTGCAATTAACTTTCCTTGCATTATAACCTTGGTATTTTGTTACTGTTATGACTGATATATCGCTAAACATTGTTTAGGTACCACGAGACGCAGCTGAACCGCGCAAACGAAATTCAACCACTTTTGCACCAGTTCAAGCTGCAGAAAAATGGCTAACCCAATTAACACCATAGTTTTAGTAGAAGTAGATATTTCCATTTAGTGTTATAGCGCCGATATAAGGATTTATCTCTAATTGGATAAAGAGATAGATAGAAAGATAGATGTTACCGCCATACAATTTCTATTGGTTCAGAATAGACACCAAACAAAGAGCTGAACCCTGATTGGATCAGGCGCTAATGGACCGGCATACTAGAGTGAATTAAGTCTACCCGAACTAACCAAATCTCATGATTCATAAGTTCTGGTCCAACAGATTGGAACTTGTGTGTGGATATTGTTAATCCTGAACGCTTGATCTCGATATCCAATGTGGGTACTTTTAAATTTAAGGATCATGGGTATGATCATCACGGGATATGTTAAATACATCCTGATATCTGCATAAGATGAAGATCGATGCTTGATTCGGGATTCCCAACACTAAAGTTCTGACTTTAAAACACTAATTTTTATAGTTGACACAGTTAAAAAAGCGACTTTGCTGATTGAAAACAATCAATTGATGAAGACCTTCAATAAGCTATATCTTCTTAATTTGCACAGGTCTAAAAACTTTAGTTAAAACTTTAACTTTAAAAAATAGTGGATATCGTGAACAATGATTCATCTCCTCTTTTTCTTAATCTCCAGATTAAATATTGCTTGTTCTCCTCCTGTTATTAATCTCCAGATTAATTAACAGATCGGGATTAAGGATATCCCATTCTAAAGTTTTCAGCTCAGGTCTGATTCGTATTTGAAACGATCTTTAAGATATTTCGTTCTCATGTGAAACTTCAAGTGTTTAAACAAAGGTGGTTTTGCATGTACAGATCAGCCAGCCGTACATTAGATCATGTACAGATCAGCCAGCCGTACATTAGATCATGTACAGATTAACCAGCCGTACATTAGATCATGTACAGATTAACCAGCCGTACATTAGATCATGTACAGATTAACCAGCCGTACATTAGATCACAAAAGCAACGACGATACAAGCCATCGAGTGATCTGTTGATTTTACCGTAATTACAAAAAAAGCAATAATTTCAAACACTTTTTGAGAAAATTAAAATGATAATTGAAAACTCTAGGCGGAAGAAACTTCTCAATCTCTAGTTTCTATATTAAATCATAGAGTTAGAAACGTGGTTGGTTAAAAACCTTAAGAATATAAATTTTACAACATATTTTTTATCAATGGCTCCCGAGAAAAGAAATAAAAAAATATATTTCAATGAAATTAAAATAAATTTTCAAAACATAACTAAGACATTTTACATAGAAAGACGTAAGATTTTGAGACACACTTTTTATCTAGCTCATTTTATCTCCCACGCAACCATGTTTTTGCAGATTGCAGACTGCAGAGCGTGATAAAGATCTGCAAAGTCTGAAATTAACCTGAAGATAGGAGTGTGCAATTTGTTCAAGTTTTGGTGGAGTAGACAGTGCTGTCTAGTTTAAGGATGAAGATAAGAGAACTGCTGGGGGGTATTCTACACAGATTAATGTCTACAGGGTGACCAAAATATTAAGTAAAGTTAAACCCTAAATTCATTGAAAGAATTTTTCAAATATCGTCTTGACAATTTTTCAATTGGTTTTATACTATTTTACGTAAATCCCAGTATTTGCGAAAATAAATAAATAGCCATGAATATGCGGGAACAGTTTTAAAGAGCTCCATATAATCATTTAATTAAAAAACTAAATATCTAAAAGATTCCAATATTAGAAAGTAAAGAATACGACATTTGATGAATTCTTCAGATGTTTGTCTTATTTAGGGTTTAACTGTATATATTAATACATTTGTTCAGCATAAAACAATAAAATAAAATATTTAATGTGAGCCAATTAAATAAATAAGTTAATTAATTATGTTCATATAGCAAGCACAACACCAATCATTGTGCATAAAAATATTATCTGTCTCTTTTGATGACGTCATTCAAAGCTAATCAATGAATTCAAATTCCAATATTAGGACGAACATATTTCATAAAGATCCTTTTGCTTTAATGGATTTCTTGCAATTTTTTCAGGGAAAAATGTGATGTATTTTTCCAATAAACTAATTATTGACTGATTAGGGAGTGTCATTCCATTTACATGATACAGTAGTCGGTGTTTATATCAATACAATGAAGAATACTTTTCTATTTCAGTTTTAATTTCTAACCAGCTTTTCTTTAATTACAGTTTACGAGTAAACAAAGAAAAACTGTTATTTCGCAGCTTGAAATCTTCAATTATAATTCAAAAATTGAAATAGTATTTTTCAACTGTAAAAACATGATGTTTTGTCGCTTAATATGTTTTGATTTGATATTTTGTTCTGTTTTGATATGTTAAGTATCTCATTGGTTCACGATATTTAAACTTGAACCTAAATGTCTCATAGGTTCAAGATATTAAAATCTGAACCTACCTATCTAATAGGTTTAAGATATATAACCTGAGCCTACCTATCTGATAGGTTTAAGATATACATATAAACCTGAATCTACCTTTCTGATAGGTTCAAGATAAATAAATATACTAACCTGAAACTATATATCTGAAACGTTCAAGAATATATATATAAACCTGAACCTACCTGACTGATAGGTTCAAGAATATATATAAACCTGAACCTACCTGCTTGAAATAAAAACCTGAACCTACCTATCTGATATGTTTAAGAATATATATAAACCTGAACCTACCTGTCTGATAGGTTTAAGAATATATATAAACCTGAACCTACCTGTCTGATAGGTTTAAAAATATATATAAACCTGAACCTACCTGTCTGATAGGTTCAAGAATACATATAAACCTGAACCCACCTGTCTGATAGGTTCAAGATATTAAAAATATAAACCTGAAACTACCTGTCTGATAGGTTCAAGAATATATATATATATATATATATATATATAAAACTGAACCTACCTGTCTGATAGGTGCAAGATATAAAAACTTGAACCTACCTATCTGATATGAGATTCTATCACAGAATAATGAGATTCTATCACAGAATTATGAGATTTTATCAAAGAATTATGAGATTTTATCAAAGAATTATCAGATTTTATAGAATTATGAGATTTGTTCAAAGAATTATGAGATTCAATCAAAGAATAAAGAGATTCTATCACAGAATAATGAGATTCTATCACAGAATAATGAGATTTTATCAAAGAATTATCAGATTTTATAGAATTATGAGATTTGTTCAAAGAATTATGAGATTCAATCAAAGAATAATGAGATGTTATCAAAGAATTATATCATATTGTCAAATTCAAAAACAATCAAAAGCAAAAAGGAAAAAGGTATTATGCAATATACAATGCAGTATAGAAAATGTTTTGATTAATATTTAAAGAAAAAGCTT